TTTCTCTATTTCGAAAGATAAGAATCATGTATTGGCAACTACCGTGTTTTATGGTGTCATTAATGAGACTTGGGAGACTAATTATGTTATTTTCAAAGTGACTTTATTTAAATGAAAGTGGGTTGCCAATAATAGTAATGGTGTACACATTGATAACTTAGGATTCACCCGGGTCAACCTTGGCAAGATATCTTTTATGACCGAACCATTTATCATGGGTTTTCAAGCAAAACAAATTTTCTATGTTACCGATCCATCATACATATCAGGGAAATGGTCAATCGTTCTCCAAGGAAAACACACCTCTCTTAGTGATGAAAGTCTTAATATTTCGTCCACACCTTCTTGCACAACACAAGTTCTTACCTCATATGATGAAGTTGATGGGGATTTTGTTCATGCTATTCAAATCGATCATGAAGAAGGCATTTGGGAAAATTAACAAGTACGTAATTTATTCTTTTATTCATAATATATTCATGTATGTTATAGTTTCTGAGTATTTTTACTAACAAGTATAATTATTTGAAATTATAGGTCTTTAGAGTCAAGACGCCAAGAGACAGGACACCAAGAGACAAGAAACTAAAACACCAAGTTACAATTATGTGATGTTCTCTAATGTGTAAACTGTAGGTTGTTTGTTCTGATAAATTGTAGGATGCTTGTTATGGTACAATTAAATATGATACAATTATGTGATATTATGAATATGATACAATTAATATTATTTAGATAACTTTATCACAAATGTGAGTTCCATTTTCTATTTTGATATGGTGAACAATAATACATGTTAAAAAAATGGGATTAATTATAAAAGCAGGATAATATTTGTTAATCATGCAAAAAATTTAACAACGGTTATAGTCATAACCGTTATAATATCTCACGCGCTGTTAAAAAAAAAATCAAAACAGCGCAGCTGAGAATCGAACCTAGGACCATTAATTTTATCACAGCGGTCTTTTGGAAAATTGTTGTGATAAGGAGCGTGCTTTCAAGTTTATTACAATGGTTACTGGACCATGATTGTAAGTATCATATATTCAATGACACTCTATATAACAATGTCTGGACCTGCGTTGTTATATATCTTTTCCAACCGTTGTTAATTGGGTTTTCCGTAGTAGTGCTCCTATATATTATTGATTAAATTTGATTTTTTTTTATAGAATTAGTTGAAAAGTTTTTTATTTAAATTTGAATTTTATCTTCTAAAATCAAGTGATAATTTTATTTTTAAAATATTCCTTTAAGATTTGGAAATTTATTCCTGCAAAGATTTATGATAAAAAATAAATAAATAAAGTAACATTTTAAATTTTAATTTTCCATTTTTTTAAATGTCAAATTATTAGTGGGTAAGATACAAAGATACAACAATACAAGAAGAAGAAAAAATGACACAAATACATGTAAAAATTGATGTAAATTGTCTGATTTAAGAAGAGTATAATCTACCGCTCAGATTGCAAACAAACAACATATAATTTCATGATTTTATTATGTTATGATTCATAATCTCCAAAAACTTAAGAACAACCCAAAATACAAGGTTAAATAGAATATCATATGAAACTAATAAATTAAAGGCTTTAAAATGTGAATGTGGTAAAAAGTGAATAAATTAAATATCTGAAAAAGAAATAAACAAATATTTTATTTTCAAATAAAAATAAATGCAAGAAAAGCAAAAGAAAACATAAATTGCATTATTAAAGTACCAACAAAAGAAAACATAGAGTGCACTATTCATCTTAACAATTTTCTTAATACTTCATAACATAAGGCTCATTCAAATCAAAATCCAATATTTTTTGTTTATCATAATAGTTAATTTCTTCCTCTTCAACATGAAATTGAGATTAGCTTTTATCTTTCTTTAATTTCTTATCATCGGTTTCATCACCCTCGTCATCATTCTCATTATTTTTGTTTTGAATCTTCGAAGAAGATCATATAAAGATTTTAATCTTTATCATCGGTGTCTTGTATGGTCTTGTTATGGTGACACAATTCCTTCATAGCAGCGAGCATCTCTGCTATATTGGCTCGGTCCTTGTTATTGTTGTTAGTGGTTTCCCTTATCATCGTGGGATGATAAGGGACTGATGTTATATATGGTTGTGTGACCCGATATGGTTTTACCGGACCTCATGATATCACACATGTCCCATCTCTATTGCCTCCACCATATACTTCTAAAATATCAAACAAGATCATTGATAATCCAAAGAGACTTGATGATTTTGTTTACAATTACATCAAATATTCACACCCAGTTATTTATCCCATTAAGTTTTTCATCAATCACTCACATGTGTCCTCAACATATAACTGTTACATATTGTCTATCAAAACTCAATATGAATAAAAAACATACTAACAAGACTTCAAGCACGAATGCTAGAGTTACACAATACTTTCAAAACTCGAGGACTTAGAACAAAATAATACTTTGACACTCACATTGTTTCCCCTACAAAGAGATATATTGGACGTAAATAGATTCAAAAAAATTAAGAGGCATTTTAACGGCTTAATTGAAAGATATAAGGTTTGTTTGGTTGCTAAAGGTTAGAATTAAACTGACAACATAGATTACATGGACATATTATCCCCTGTGAAAAAATGCCAACAATGAGATTATTATTAGCTATTACTTCTTCACAACAATGACATCTATTACAATGAGATGGCAATAGTGTTTTCCTTCATTGTGGTCTATATGCAATTTCCTCCTAATTGATTCCTACATTTCTTTGCTATGTTTTCAAGCTTCAAAAGTATTTATATGGTCTCAAGCAAGCTATTCGCAAATGGTTCTCAAAATTGTCCACCTTACTCATTTCTATTATATACAAACAAACTTATTTTGATCATTCCTTGTTCACCAAGCTATCACCCAACAAATTCACAATTTTTCTAATTTATGTGGATGACTTAATTTCATCAAGAAATGATCTTGATGAAATTAATTTCATTAAATCCAAACTTGATAGTGCCTTCAAGATTAAGGAACTTGGTAGTTTAAGGTTTTTTTGGAAAATAGAGGTCTCAAGATCACGCATGGGAATTACTATTTGTCAAAGAAAATAGTCCTTGAAATTTTTACACGATGATGGTCTTCTAGCTTCTAAACATGTCATGACTCCAACAAAAAATTTGTGGCTTGTATTTCCTCACGGATGCCAAAGTTTCTCCCAAATATTCAACACAATGTCCTTCTTCTGGGGTCTTATCTACCATATCATTAATGTAAACTTCTGAATTCAGACATATTTGCTTGAAGAAAATGATGTCCATTAGCCTTTAATATGTTGCCCTGGGTTCTTTAGTCTGAATGGAATGACTTCATAATAGAAGTTGTTATTATTGGTCATGAATGTTGTATTTGGTGCATCATTGGGGTTCACTAAACTCAGAGGCACCATCAATTAATTTTTCAATGCTCGGTAATGGATAGGGTCTTTAGGGGCATACTTTGTTAAGATCAATGAAATCCCCTCATATTCTCCATTTTCCAGATTCCTTCTTCACCATCAGAATGTTAGTTAGCCAATTTGGGTATTTAATATTTCATTTGAACCCAAATTCCTTCATTTTTCTTACCTCTTTCGAAATGGATACTCTTTTATCCTCCTTCTCCTTGCACTTCCTCTTAAAGACATGCTTAACCTAGTTCCAATGGCTAGACTATGACACACTGTATTTGGATCTATTTCGAGCATATTAGTTGGTGCCCATGCAAATAAGTCCAAATCTCTATTTAAAGGATGCACAATGTTTACCTTCTCTACCTTGGTTAATGAGGTGCCTATTTGGGTAACTTGATGGCCTTTGGGACCTATCAGTACAATCTTTAACTCTTTCATATGTGTCAATATATCCTCTTTATGGTCTATCTGTAGGTTTAAATCCACTTAGTTGACCTTGTGAAAGCTAGATAGAAATGATGGCTATGCATTTCCCTTCTTTCTCAGCTTCAAACTCTTGGTCACCCTTGGCTACCCCGATTCTCCTGTTACTTAAAAGGTATTTCATAGTTACATAAAGAGTTGATAAGGATGCCTTCATGGTTTTGAAAACATGCCGAAAAACGATGATACTATACGAGGAAAGGTTGTTCATCACCATATATCTCACTTTATGGACTTTATGTTCCCGTCCTTTCCAAAAGTAGTCAGAATGGTGATGTATCCCCTGATCTTCACTTGTTATCCTAAAAACCCGACAAGTGAGCCTTTGAAAGGTTGGGAGGGCTCGGGGGTCTTTTTTTAAACTCTCAAATACTTCCCAATAAAGGGCATCAATAGAGCTTTCAGGATTTACCAAGACCCTTTTGACATTCCAAACATGAATTTAAAGGTTGATTACCATTATATCATCCTCGTGGGGTAGATTCCCTCCGCATCTTTGCTGGAAAAATTGATCTTTGGTGCAAGTATTCCTTTCTAAATGGGCGGGGGACATTGGAAATGTGCATCACTTGTCAAACATAATTCTTCCTAGATGAATTTTACTAACCACCTCCCGTGAAGCATACAAATATCTTATTTAATGTGTAATATGTTTGGTTGGGCTCATGGCCATATTCGATACTCCAACCGCTTCATGGATTGGTAATTCTCCGATGATATTCTTTTTGCAGAAGAGCTCTTATTACTTAACCTTGTAAATTTCCCTGCGCATATCTCTCCAGGATACCTCTTTGAATCGGCTTCTCGATCTCACGCTTCATATGGTGACAATCATCGGTATGATGACCATGTTTCTTTGTAAATATTATATGGAATATAAAACTAATAAATTAAAGACTTTAAAAGGCAAATAAGGTAAAAAGTGAATAAAATAAAAATTTAATAACAAAATAAACAAATATTTTATTTACAAATAAAAATAAATGTAGAAAAAACAAAGAAAACATAAATTGCATTATCGGTTGGTTGAGTACCAAAAGAAAACATAGAATGTATTATTCATCTTAATCATTTTTCTTAATCCTCCAAAACATAAGGTTCATTCAAATCAAAATCCAATATCTTTTGTTCATCATAATGATTAACTTCTTCTTCTTTCACATGAAGTTGAGATAAGCTTTTGCTTTTCTTTAACTTCTTATCGTCAGTTTCATCACCATCATCATCATTCTCATTATTTTTGTTTCGAATCTTCGAAGAAGATCCTATAAAGATTTTAATATTTTTCATCCCGAGCTTTTTCTTTTGATTCTCATTCTCATTCATAGATGACTCACTCTTATAAATATCTCCTTTATGACGAGGAATCAATAATTTAGGAGTTTCATCATCATTAGACATGTGAAAATCTCTTTCATGATAAGATTGAGAAACCGGTAATTTATGAGTTTTTGACTCATCACTAGACAAATTAGAAAAATGTTTATCTGATCGAAGATGCAAAAGATTAGATGCCGCCTCAGCACTACCAATACATTTTCTACCTCTTTTATCTCTCTTTTGCCATCTCGGCAAAGAATAATCATCTTCGTCTTCTTTGTTTTGCCGAGTAGACGAATTAGAATTGTTGGAAGAAGGAGGACTAACTCCTTTACAAACCCTATCGGGATGAGATCTCATATGACCATACAAAGCATTGTTTGTGCAAAACTCCTTCTCACAAATATAACAACTTAACTTCTTTTTCTCATCAATTTCTTCTCCATCATACTTATCATCGATGAAACAATTAGCTCTATTATTCCTAACCCTAATTGAGAGAGGAGTTTTCACCTTTTGTGAATGATGGTTAGCTTTCTTCTTAAGAAAGTGAGATCTTCGGTGACCACCCAATGCTTTTCCATTGTCATATGCTTTGCCACAAATATTGCACTTGTGCTTTAAATCTTGAACGGGAATTTTATTGATCTTAACCTCATAGTCATTTTCACTATTAGACACTGACCTTGATCTTTTCATCTTCATTGAATCACTCTCTATTCATCTGAAAAATTAAGTATAATAAAATTGAAATTAAACAAAACAAAACATCAAAAGAAAGACCTAAAATTGAAGAAGATGAAAAAAAAATATATAACGAAAACTTTTACCTAATGTTGAAAACCAAATATACAAGCTAAAAGGTTATAAACTTTGAAACGTTTATATAAAAAAAACATGGAAGAGGAAAAGTTGTGATTTTAGGAAGAATTAAATGAGGAAGAGGAATTTTTCACAAAAAGATTTGTCATTAAATCAGATTTTAATATTACAGATTTTAATTCCTAATCAATTCATTATTGTTTTATATAAAAATTATTTATAAATAAATAAAATTAGTAATTATATCTTGTAAAACTTTTCTACATGTATCCGATCAAATTATGACCTATAATATTTATTTAGATGTTTAAAAAAAACTTGCATATTCAATGCATAGTTATTATTTATATCCTCTTTATATAAAAGTATTATGACTAACAATTTTTACCAAAATTTTACTTAAGTGTTTTATATTTCTAAAGCCTTTTCCTCTAAAGTTCAGAGAATCGTGATAAGAATAAAAATATCATGTGAAATAATAAAATTAATTGTGTGATTAATGTGTACAGTTTACATATAACTATTAATAAATTATTTTGTCAGTAGGGATATATTAATTACAGTTATATTTAAATAAAATATAATTATATGTACTCCTATTTATTATTTTAAGTAAGCTTTATATTTTTTTAAAATAAAAAATACTTATAATTAAGGAAAGGAAGAATTATGAATAAATATTTGGTCTTTATGAAACACAAACTGTATAACGAAGATTGATACCAAGAAATAGGAATGATGGATGATATATATACATATATATATCGGAACATATATAGAATATACCTAGGAGTAATATTTAGTTGCTCACAACCCAACAAGTAATCTCTTAGACAAACTAACATAAAAAATTATATTATATCATTTAAATATTTTAATAATACATATTATTTAATTTTTTTATATTTTTTATTATTTTTTTATGAGTGTGTGTCCAAATTTTATGGGCAAATGATGTGTCCATGTAAGACTTTCTCTATATTTAATGTAATAAACACTGTATCCCTGGTTTTTGTTTTTTATTAAAAAATATATATTTTTACCCATGTATTTTTGTTTTAGTTGAAGATTAATTAAATTTAGAAAGATAAGATGTAAAGTCAGGATTGAATGTATGTAGCATATCTTAATATATATAATCTCGTATTTGATGGCATAATACAATATTATAAATTAATTTTAAAACTTATCTTATATTGAATATGATTTGAGTTAGAATTCAGTAGAATAGAATAAGAAAATAATTTGATAATTTATTTATATAAATATAATTTAAAATAAAAAATTAAATATGACAAAATATAAATAAATGATTAATTTGATATTAAATTAAAAAAATACTAATAAATAATTTTAAAAAATGTGTATGATTTTGTCATAAGAGTAAATTTGAAACTTCATATAATATATAAAATTAAAACCTAATACATTGGAATATCTAAAAATAAAATAATTTTAAAAATTTTAAAAATATGAATACTAATTTTATTTTTATCAAATTAAATATATTTTCTTGCAAGGGTAATTTTGTCATTTACATATATATATATACATGTTTTTATTTTACTTATCTAACATATAATAGAATTCATGATTTTTTTCATGAAAAATTAAAATTATTTACTCTTGAGATTTCTTAAATTATATAAAATTATTAATTTTTCCTACTTTATAAACTTGAAGACATTTTACAAAATTATTTGAAAAAAATGTAATTGTTTTACAAGGATAATTTGTCATATATATATATATATATATATATATATATATATATATATATATATATATATATATATATATATATATATATATATATATATATATATATATAGTGGCGGAGCCAGGAAAATTATGAAGCCTGAACAAGTTTTCATTGACTTCATAATTTTCTACCAAGACAGTACAATGCTAATCTCAAAGGAATTATTTCCTTGAATTGCAATTACCTCTTCAATTTGTAAGATTTCGGATTTTATAATATATACATGTTAAAATTCTGGATTCTATAATATATACATGTTACAGTATTTCAGGTGTGCTCACAAAATGAACAAACCTATAAAAGCCGAGAAAATTAGTTCAACACGCTCATTTGTGTGAAATTAAGTACTGCCTAAAAACACCGCTATCAATTCAAATTTCAAATAATGTTGTCAAATGCAGATCGGTGAAGTGGTGGTTTGTTAAAATTCCGGTATGCTACAATGTTGTAGAGCCACTATTTGAGAACACATTATACTAAGTAGCATAACAAAAAACAATAGGGATGTGATCAAATTCCGCTACACTATAGTACAATAGCTATAACTGCTATTTAACAACAATGATTCCAAGATATGCCAATCTAAGTTATCAACAAATAAAAAATTATGATAACAAGCCATACCTTTCAATAGTTTCTCTGGAAAACCATGTGGCATCGCTTTCGTGCTATGCCAATGCTTTGACAATTCCATTTGACTTGTTTCTTAATGAACTCAACAAGAGAGTTTGTTAATACTGTAATAAAGAAAATAAATGCATATATTCTGCAATCATGGTTTGGGGCTGAAATAAGTAACAACATCATTAAAACAGTTGAAGTGTCCACCACTTGCTTAGAGTCCAGCTCAAAGTTAACATTATCAAATTGAATGTCACAAATCAATTGAAAGTTTGTATATGGCGGGCTTAATATTCATTACAACAAGCCCTTAAATACATAAAATAAGCATAATAGTTTGCCTATGTACAATATACACTATACATTCTCTTTTTGTTTAGACAAGTCTCTTGCCCCCTCATTTAGACCCTTTAACGTTATCGGGCCTAACACTCCAACATTCCATGTTTCGTAATGTAAGCTAACATTCTAGAATTAATTTGAATACAAAAAATGATTAAGAACATTTTTTTAAAGCAAATCGAAAATGTCACATATTTCATAGACATAAGAAAACAAACAACTAACCGAGAGATCGACTGCAACACTAAGTAGAGAAATCTTGTTATTGCCAGCCCATAGCTTCACACCACTGCTAAATGTTAATTTAGGATTATCCAATCCTCCGTATGCAGTTCCTACATTCATACAAGAGATGATTATGTAAAGAGAGTTTCTGTTTAGTATGATAACTATTTAACCGAAACACGCGAATACTGACGAGGTGCATTTTAAAACATATTATCTCGGAATTTTGTGGAATGTACTAGGAAGCATGCTCACCTGAAAGTTGACCGTTAACAAAAACATGCAGAACATGGCCGACCGACATTGCTGTAAGAACAGGATATTGGCCATTCTTTAAGAAAGCTTCATTAGGACTAATGTTGACACTAAACAAGAACCAAAAATTGAAGTATCAGTAAATATTTAAGAGATTTTAACATTCCAATTACTTATAATGTTTAAGAAAGTTTGAGAAATTGAAAGATTCTTACTCTGTCATGTACCACAAATAATCTGACGAATCGCGAGTGACACCGACCTGCTCCAAAAGTGCAGCTGTTGTGATCGAACTTTCTCCACCGGAGGCGGCAGGTTGTTCATTATACGACTGCCAATTAAACGCGCTGTTTACAGGAGTCATCTTTCTATGGAACCTCGGAGCACCAACCTGAACAAAATTGATAAGTATTTGCAAATGTTCACACTTAGAAAAGCCTTACACATTCAGCAATCTTGTGTTACCTTTGCAGTGTTGAAAACCTCAGTTTTGCAGTCAGGAAGGATACTAATAGACCAGGGTGGGAGGTCATACTGGCCATTTCCAAATGGAACTTTTGCCCACGACAAGGTGTCGTAATTTGCAAGGAATGCAGCACATGCACCAAAGCTTGTCTTGTAAAGATGCACCTACGATTACATTAACAAACAAACTCAAATGAATGTTCAAGACAGTAGAAATTATGCGCCTTTTATAAGAACCACCTCGGCATGGACTTTACCTCAAGGTTTTTTCCGGGCCATGACACTGTCGGATCCACGGACACCAAAGCTGACATAGGCAATGAAGATAAGTACCATAGGCAACGAAGACTTCAACGAATTCGACGCTGACGATAGAACCTTTCTACACACACTTGACTTCTATATTTCGTGTCTCTGGGTGTTACTAACTGAGATTTTTCACATATCCAGAATCTTCATTCATTTCAAATATCCAGAAGTACTCCCTGCATGTACAATAAGACATCAATAAAAGTAGAAGAGTCAAATTAATGGACACATATGTTTCACATTTAAACGGATAAATTTTACACATAATATTTATCATTAACTTAAATTGATAGTTTTTGTACATAAGATTTTCCAGTAGTCCAATAGAAAAGTTGATATACTCTCTGGATTGGATTCTAGGATGCCCAATAAGAAAAATATTCGTTCAGAAATTTTACCGAACACTTGGTGGACATAGCACGAAACAACAAATTCAACACCACAACCTGCAACAACAACAACAACAACAAATAACAAAACAACAACAATGATGTAGGAGATATGAATTGAAACAGAAGCAAGAAGAAGAAAGAATCGGCGGAGGAAGGTGATGCTCACCGATAATTGATTGAACGGAAACCGGAAAGGCAAGAGTGGTGTTGCAGTGTGTATCTGTTTACGGTATGGTGTGTCGGAAGATGGCCATAGAAGATCTCCATCGCGAGATGGTGAAGCATGGTCGGGCGGAGCCTGGGCAGCTGCCCTACCTGGCCGGACGCTGGCTCCGCCACTGGCCATAGAAGATCTCCATCGCGAGATGGTGAAGCATGGTCGGGCGGAGCCTGGGCAGCTGCCCTACCTGGCCGGACGCTGGCTCCGCCACTGTATATATATATATATATATATATATATATATATATATATATATATATATATATATATTTATTTTTATTGATATCTTGTGTAAATCAAATACATGATATGATAAGTCTTATCATGTCTATATTATATCATGTTACTAAGATATCGTGCACACCAAACTGGTTTTAAGTATTTTAAAATTCAGACTATTCTGGCTAGTCAAATTGGTTAGACCGTGAGTCATAGGGTAAATTGTTCCGGTAAGATCATTGAACCATAGTTGCAATTGACCAAGTGAAAACCGGTGTGATCCGGTCGATTCACTGGTCAGACCAGTGAATTGACAGATTTTTTATCTGACGAATTAATTTTTTATGTTTTTTTTAGCTTAATTATAATTGTGATCTTCTATTTTCTTTTTTTCTTAAGTTTTGGTGTCCTTGTTTTAAAATCCTATTTTATTAATATCTATAATTATGTTAATTAATTATAATAATTAAATAATATTAAAATTATAAAATGAAATTTTACCAAATTTTAAGAATCAGACTTGTAACATTTCAAAACTATTGTGTTTTGGAAGGAACAATGTGATGACCTCCTCGATCGAAGGTCATGTGCAACTATAAAGAAAATGGATTTTACATGGTCTGGGAGAGTTTTACCGGTTCCCACAAACGACGCCAACTTGTATGGGAGGAACAATGTGATGATCTGCCTTAAACGGGTCGGAAGAGGTCGCAATGTACTTTGAGGAGTAATGTATTTTGGATCTCCTCTCTCTTCATTCCATGGAGTCTCCTATTTATAGTGTATTCTATAAACAAAGTCATAAATAGTACTCATGGTCATTACTCTAATGGTTTCCTTGTCCCTTCCAAGTTATAATGGACATTGACTATATTGAATGGGGATGTTTATGGGTTAGTTGTGCTGGCTAGCTCTGTCGGGCAAGCTCTATAGGGCGAGCTATGATGGGTGAGCTCTACTTGGAGAGCTCTGTCTGGCGATCTCTATTGGGCGAGCTATGCTTGCTAGCTCCATGGGAGAGCTCTATTAGAAGAGCTTTGTTGGGCGAGCTTTGTCGGGTGAGCTCTTCTTTAGGTCCTTTGTCCTAGACCAACATCCCAGATATCAATTATCTCAGGATGTACATAAGTCCCCCAAGCACGAAGCCTGTAAGGGTGAAGTATTTGATTTCTTAGGTATTTTTATCTGAGACCAATATCCGGTATAAAAATTATCCCAGGATGTACATAAGTCCCCAAGCGCGAGGCCCTTTAGGAGCGATGCACTTAGGTGCTTGTTACTCTTTTTCATAGAAGGTCGAGATGATTCCGATCATGAGTAGTAGAAGATCTCATCCTGTTTTCTTAAATCTGAGATGTACATAGTTCCCAAGCGTGAGGCCCTTTAGGGGCGATGCGCTTAAGTGTTTTGACGGTCTTAAACTCCAATTAGGGATATGCATCCCGAACATACATGAACCTCCCAAAAGTGAGGCATTTTGGTGTGATGCGTTTATTTTGTAGCTCTTCGTCTACTTTTAGACATTAATCTAATGGAGGTCCTCTTGTAGTTTTTTGTGTCGGCGTGTTTTATGATTTTGTGGCGAAAATATTCAGCGTGTCTTGTTGATGTGAACGAAGAGAACTCTATAAGTTCGCGATGCAGACTTGGTAGTCTCCTCATGGTGGAGCCTCGTGGGCCGACTTGATAGTTTCTTAGTGGTCGAGTCGTGTTAGACGACTTGGTAGTCTCTTCGTGGTCGAGCCCCGCGGGCCGACTTAGTTTCTGGGCGAGTCCTTTGCTTCTTGTAGTGACGGAGCGCTCACTATGAGCTCACAATGTAGAATTAGTAGTCTCTTCATGGTCGATCCCTGTGGGCCGACTTAGTGGTCTTCTCATGGTCGAGCTCTAGGGGCCGACTTGGTTTCTGGCGAGTCATTTACTTCTTGTAGTGTCAGAGAGATCACTTAATAGTTCACCATGCATATTCATAACCCAATTGGGGTTGACTGACCTTCCAGAGCCTCAAAGAGGTAGTTACACAACTGTTTGAGAGTCCGCCTGACGGTGACCTACGTGAGAGCCTTAAAGAGGTTAACACAAAGTTTGGTTCAAAGACCGCCTAAGGATGTCCTACGTCAAAGTCTCAAAGAGGTTGACGCAAATTTTGGTTAAGAGCCCACCAGGGGTGACCTATGTTAGAGCCTCAAAGAGGTTGACACGAAGTTTGGATTAGAGCCCGCCTAAGGTTGTCCTGGTTCAGAGCCTCATAGAGGTTGACGTAAAGTTTTGTTCAGAGCCCGCCTTGGGGTGATTTGATTCAGAGCCCACCTAGGGGTGCTCTGGTTCAGAGCCCGCCTGGGGGTGACCTGTGTCAGAGCCTTAAAGAGGTTGACATAAAGTTTGGTTCAGAGTCTGCCTGGGGTTGACCTGGTTCAGAGCCTGCCTGTGGGTGACCTACGTCAGAGCCTCAAAGAGGTTGATGAAAAGTTTGGTTTAGAGCCCGCTTGGGGGTGACCTACGTCTGAGCCTCAAAGAGGTTGGCGTAAAGTTTGGTTTAGAGCCCGCCCAGGGGTGCCCTGGTTCAGAGTCCACTTGGAGGTGACCTATGTCAGAGCCTCAAAGAATTTGATGCAAATTTTGGTTCAGCTCTCGTATGGGGGTGACCTACGGCAGAGCCTCAAAGAGGTTGACGCAAAGTTGTTCAGAGCCCGCTTGTGGTGACCTAGTTTGGAGACCTCTTGGGGTAACCTAGTTTAGAACCCGTCTGAGGGTGATCTAGTGTAGAGCCCACTTGGGGGTGACCTACGTTAAAGCCTCAAAGAGGTTGACGTTAAAGGGAGGTCAGAGGTTTTATTGAACATGACCTGTTTTGATATAGCTCAACAATTCCGGGTTAGCTTGTCTGCTCTACCCTGGCATAATCTTGACTCTTTCCCTGCAAAACTAATATACAAAAAAGAGAATTTAACCAACTAATAGAAATTTTGTCCATCTTTGTGTCAGATTCTTTCCGAGATAAAATGAGTCGACTTTATTTTCTTTATCTTCTGATTTGTAGCATCTTAATTTTTTTCTTTGCGTAGTATGTGTCGGCTTTTTACTGGAGTTTAATTTCTTCAACATAGACTCTTATGACATTTCTGGCTCATCCTACCTAATTTCGAGGCTTAACAAGATTAGGATGCCTCCCATCCACGCATTGGAAAAGGACGGAATCCATTGGTTAAAATAAGTTCTTTAATGAGTTTTTAAAAATAATTACAAGCGGTAGAGACCATAGCTCACCTCATCCAACATAAAGAATTATTTGAAAAAATAAACTAGCATATGAACAACTTCTTGATTTTTCCGACGACCTTGCTTATTCAAGATCAAGTGTTCGATATGCAATAGCCAACATATACACTGTTGGATGAAGCCTTCTTTCAGCTTTCTCTATATGATCCAAGATATCCCTGACTATTTCTTATCTTTGCCATATTCTTCAACACACCGACCCCTATATCATGGAAACCATATCAAGGCTCAAAAAGACAAAATCTGTGCAACTAAAGGTGTAACACCCCACACATACATTGCCTATGATATATGCATATGGTATTAAATAGGTAAGCTGAAATCATACATAAGTAGCGGAAATGGATGCAAATATCTTCATGGCCAAAATACAAAAATCTCAAAGAGTACTAATAAATGGTCCGATGGTACAAAAGAGGAAAGATTCAAAAGGAACAAAATGTCTCCAAGAAACATCACCGATAAGCTAATACATCTTACCCTTGCCTCAGTCATGCCTCGAACAACCTACAAAATAATAATTGGAATAGGCTGAGATTACTAAATCTCAGTGAGTCTCCCTACCTTAAGGGTTCACTAAGTTTTACAGAGTGCATGTATCAACACGAATTCACCACGAATCCAGGGTTTCCTCATGGCTAGATGCAAGTACACAACAGAGGAAAGTCCACCATCAAAAGTCTCATAACTAACCAATGAGGAAACAAGAAGACATATTCGGCACAAGGCCCGACACAATGGCCACAAACAATATGCAGACCCGTACTCATGCATGAGGAGTCCAGAAGTAGGTTCTAACTTTCTACATATACTACACATTCACAACCTCGGTGAGTTATACTCATGCATCACATCAAGAGATTTATACCAACACATTTTCGGATGAATCAAACAA